AGACCTGAGGAAATATCCACATAAAAGTTCATAAAGGTGGATGTTTTCTGCAGAATGTTGTGTTGTTTACAAAGCAGAGATTTTCAGATTAAAATACACAGACTGGGTCTCCTGCTGAGCTTATAGCCAGACAAACTGCTCTAATCTTCTAAGGGATCCATTCCTTTGTGTGCTGTTTTTCAAATAGGATAGAGTTTCAGCTTTTTAACTATAATGGCTGGTGGGATCTGGAGTATTCTGTGATGCATCACTGCTACTAGAGCAAACTCAGCAGGAGAATAAAAGCATTAGACGTGTTCCCTGTCTGCCCTATCACCCACCAATTGTCTGCAGCTTTCTTCTTCAGCAGTGTTCTCAGTTGACCAGCTTTTGGAAATGCTTCTCTTCAGAACAGAGACAGGAGAGGGTTTATTAGCCTTTCTGGTGATAGCTGTGAGGCCATTTTATATAAGCTGCCCATTACATCATCTAGCTTGTCAAATTAAAGCTTCACTCCATCACTGTGTGATTCTTTGCACTTCTGGAATCTGCTTTTACTCAGCTTTTCTGTTAAGCTGAAGCAGATCCCTTCTATGTTCTCAGGAAAAGCACAACTTGACTCATGTTCTTGCACTAGTTTCAACATGCAGGTTAAGCAACAGCCTCTAAGGACCATTTTCCCCCATTATTTTATTTTATTTATCATCTTTTTATTATCTGGAAACTTCTATCAGATCTTGAACAACACCTAAGTAAAGGTAGTCTTGATTTGAAATTCTTACTGTCTTCACCAGTTGTACTTATTTCTGCCCCCCATTTCTGTCTTTGCTGGTTTTCTAACACAGACACGTGTGTGTGACACTGAAGTCCCCTTGTGTTGGGTGATTATCATCTCACTTATCCTGAAAACTCCGCATTTACCAGTATTCTGCTTGAAAAGCACACTACCAACATACCAAAAATAATTATGGATGAGTGCCCTGTCATGTTTGTTAATTGAATTACTTATCCTTGACAAGAGAGTTCATCTAAACTGGCCGAGACAGCAGAAGGTGCTGGCTGGGGAATCTCTCTGTCTTAACAATCTTTTTGAAATGCCAAACCTGATCAGCTGGAGTTGGCATTCTCTCTTAGACCTCTTCCTTGTGCTGATGGCATAGAGAAATGAGCTGCCTGGCTTATAAATTGTGAGACAGCTTTATTTTGAATTACCACATTTAATTCTGCTACTGATGTAATTTGTTATGATAAAATTAGTACGGTGCTTGTTTAGTTTTCCCATTCCAGTGATCTGTACAATATACCTGTCTGAAGAAGACATTCATTCAAGGAATACTATTAAAAAAAAAAAAAGTTGGTATTCAGCCTCCCCAATGGAACTGGAGTCCTCAACATCAGTATGATTCCCTCTATTCACTGAATACAGTATCTCAAAATATTCAGTGTGCTGTATAGCAAAATAGCAATGGGATAGTGATTACAGCAATAAGATCTGCCTGCTTGAGACTGTTTCCAACATCTGTTGCGTATACATTCCCAAAAGAGCTGGGCTGATAAGACATGAGCAGAATATATTCAAATTATCATGTTCTGGTTTGTCAGATATGCCTTGAAAATAGACAATTCTCTCTGTAAACGCACTACCCAAGTAAATGCCCCTTTAGATATCTTTTCTCTCAGACTGGATTTAAGAGATATTATTATTTAAATTTTTAAACTTAGTTTGGGATGTATGGCTTGTAAAAGAGATGGCAAAGAGGGAATATTGCTGAAAGAATTGGGGTAAACCTAGAGGAAGTGTTGGTAGCAGAAAGCAGATACAGTTACTGCTGTCAGAACAGGGTAGGATAAAAAAGTAAAGGGGTTTGGGGATAGAGATCTGGACTAGGCCTCCAGATGAGTTGAAATTTACAGGTTCTTAAAAACAGCTCATCTAGCTGTGAATTGTTATATTCATATGACATGGTAGCAAGGACAGACTTGACATTAGCAGGTCCTTCCACTCCTATTTAATTTACAAAGACTGGATTTATTTACAAATTAAGGGCCTCCATTTCCTGTGAGGGACACAAATCAACATCAGAAAATTAATCTCAGACACACTAACCTTTTTGGTTTTAGAAATCACTCCATCAGTTCATTTTCTTTTTTTCCACGACATCAAACACTTCTAAGATTCAGCTGGACGGGGTGATGGGACACGTTGTCCGCACTGTGCTTTTGCCAGGCAAGGTTGGACTAGGTGATCTTTGAGGTTCCATCCAAGCTGGTATTCTATGAATCTATGATTTTACCATGAAAAGCTAATTTAATGTAGATAAATGCATATAAATTTAGATAATGTAGATAAAAATTTGTGTTACAAAGTTGTAGAAATTGAATTAATTATATTTGATCACAGGTAAGAATCTGTATTACCTTGTATATGACTTGTCATGCTTTGTTTTTGAAGACTTAAATGGTGCATTGGCTTTTTGCCTGCCAGTTGTCATGTTTGCTCCAATAGGACTTAGACAAATAAGCAAAAAGCATTCATTTTGTAAAAGATATTTATGTAAATTGGTTTTGAAGGAAATAAACTTTCCTATGAGTTATGTGCAACTAAACATAGAATCATGCCTGCACAGGGGAACTAGAAAGTAAATTTGACTGAGCAGGGCTGAAACAGTCCAGACCTCTTGACAGTTGAAAGTGAAATGTAAGATTTAAGTAGTCAAACTGATAATGTAATTTTTATCTTAAAATAATTAGATTTCTGCTGGTCTGCAGTTCCAAATCATAAGTGTAAAAGCTTTTCAAGGGGCTTGTTTAGTTTTTGGCTTTATTTCAGCTCTCTTAAGAACTGTCTAGCTGGCTTCCTGCTTTAATAGCTGCTGAAAGTTTGTTGAACTTGTGCAGACCTACTGTATGGTTGCTGGGCCAACTTAGCCAAACTCCTTATCCCTTCAAAGGGTACTGCTTGGGGCAAGGTGATGTAAAAATTCCTTTTACTGCATGGAGTTGACCTGACCAGCATTGAAGACCAGGCCAAACCCATGTAGTACAGAGATCCCGAAATAAGCAATGGTAACAGTCCTGGAGCTGTGAGGGGAAGAAAGAAATGAGCTCATCATGAGGCATGAATTCAGGATTCCACACTCGACTCTGGGGCTGGCTTTATTCAGAAGTTTTTCCACTGGGGCTTAGTCTGGCGGGATGTTCCTTCATGCAGCAGCAGCACGTAACTCTATAACATTAGTTATTGGTGCTGATGTCTGCATCTTTCCTGATTAAGTAGCTTAAGACATGCCTAATTACTTAATGCTAATCTCTGAGGCTGAGATGGAAGGAGATGATGTACCCAACCATGCATCTGACATATGTTTCCAATATGTATGTAGGAAAAACTCATACTCTGTCCCAATGCATATAATTGAAGTACTGCCTTTGTAGAAAAGGAGATATGGAATACAATTTCTCTTACAGATACTTGTCCTTTTCTTCCAGCATAATGCTGGATTTATACACACTAATGTTCCTCCTTTGATGATGAATCCAGACATGGCAAAAACTTAGAACACAAGGATTGTGTCAATTAATTTATCAATTGCTTTATCAATTTAATTTCTCATTTTGGCTTAGTTGTTGTATCTCTGATTTTCATTCATGGAACTAGAAGTAAAGAATTAGTAATATTGTTGGTAGGTTTGGTGTATTTTTGTGATATTGATCAACAGGTAAAAATGGTTACTTGAATTCCAGAAGCTAGAAGAATGTTTTCATGAAAAAACACTATTCTTAAGGCACAGCTGGTATCCATATAAAAGCAAAAATCCACATAGTGGTGACTGATGGTTCCAAAAAATGGATGTATAAAATAGAATGGATATTGAGAACCTTGGCTAAAAGTGAGGTGTTGTCAGGTACTTGCTGTTCGTAATTATTTGTAATTATTTTTGCTTGTACTACTAATATTCCAATACCTTTTTAACACCACAAAAATGTCTGTGAAAGTTGAGCTAGAAATAATTTCAATTATCTGACTGAATTTGGTTTGCTATTACAAAAGATTTGGATAAGAGGCTTTACATATTTGTATGATTTGTACTTTGTACTCTTTCTTAACAGTCATCCTTCCCTTGCATCTGGGGCTTCATCGTGTGGAATTCTGAGGCTTGTAGTATTTTGTCTGCATTTGGAAGTGGTGATCACAATGGGGTGGATGGGGTTGCATACTAAAAGCTAATAATACCCCTGATCAGCTACAGGAAGGTCACAGCCTTAAGAATGATTTGTATTGAACCCACTTCCCACAATACTGTGTCTTGTGAGGGATTCTGAAGAATCACAAAGCCTTGCATTTACATTTGGATTCCATACAGTTCTGCTGCCAGTAGATAGCAAGGCAGATTGAAATGGTTTGTTGTTAACGCCATCAAAATATGTTTTCAGTGAAAGTATTTGGTTACTGAATCTGCAATTTGTAGCAACAACCTTGTGAGCAAAATGTCACATACTAAACATGTTTTATATCTCTTCTGCTGTTTGAGAATGTGATCAGCTCTGTAGAGATGCAGCATGCACTTTGAATTTTTCTGGCTCATCTCAGTTTAACATTTTCAGCTCTTCTAGAAGATCTGATTGCCTTGAAAACCTTTTAAAACACACTCTGATCTTCCTGCTGTTTTACCAGTCCACTCAAGCCAAGTTAGCGTTGTGTTCTTCATCACTCAGTGTATCGCAAACGCACTTCACGTGATTTGGAAAGGTATCATCATGGTTGGTTGGCTGCATGAAAGAAAACCAGTACTTTTTCCCTTCAGACATCTACAGTAGAGCCAAATGAAAATTCAAATGCTGAAAACTGCTTCCTCAAACAGTGACAAAAAGTATTCATGAGCGAATGAAAGCTCAAACACTTCAGTCGTACTTAGTTCCACAAATAGGTTTCACTTTTGTTCAAGCTTCCTGTATTTTGCCAGCTTCTGTGTGTTCAACAGTGCGCTATGAACAGCAGAAGCAGTTATTTTGATTTTGTGATCATGTGGCAAAGTAGTAAAATATCTGCAATGTATTTCATGGACAAAGATTCCAAACTGTCTAACTTATTTCAACAGGCAAGCAGTCCTACAACAGGAACAGCTCCCAGGAGTCAGTCTCGGTTGTCTGTCTGCCCCTCCACTCAGGACATTTGTAGGTATGTGCTGAGAAAAATATACTCTCATCTGGCTGATACTTGTTAATTGCTTTTATTAAATATCATGTAGTTCTTGCTTCTGCTTAACTTTATTCATAGTTGACATAGACTTTAGTTTTCTTTTGATCTCTCTTTGTTTTGGTTTTGTTTTTCTGTTTTAGTCTCGTGTTTATTAAAATTCATGTTCTCATTCTCATCCTTTTTCTTTTTTTTCTTTTTGTTTGATTTCTCTTTCCACCCACCCTTACCATTTCCATCCCTTTCCTTTGCTTACTGCTTTGTCTAGATCTACTACCTTGCATGATTTGTCAGAAGATGAGCTTGAACATGCAACCACTGTCATGGTGCTGGCCCCTTCTAATAGGGAGCCTGGTGGTAAGAAACTCATAAAACGAAGGTTTAGGCGGAAAAGAGAGACTGGAGACAATGGTGAGCACACAGAAAAGCAAGGCAAGGGGAGAAACTGTAAATTGCATCCTGAGCCTCCGAGATCCAGCTGGAATGCGTCTGATTCATCATCATCTTCGGATGAGAGTCAGTGGGCTCAGGCTAGGAGGAGAGCGAGAGAAAAGGCCAGGATGGCCAGGAGAGGGAGAAGAAACAATAGATCATGCAGTAACCAGGATGGGTCCTCAAACAATGCTGTTGAACTTGTCACCTTGGGGACAATGGGAAAAGAGAAACAAGAGGTGTCTGACCGTGAGAATCCTACTTTAAATCACCGCCGAAGGATTCCAAGGCTTAAGGAATCACAGTCTTCAGCATCATCTCAGGAAGCGAGGATTTCCTCAAGAAAATGTGGGAAAAGCAAAGGGAAAAGCTACCACAGAGACCGGCAGCCTGCACCTTTCCTTAGACACACGAAGGACTCCTTTGCAGAGGCAGGCTCTGGCAGCGATGCTCTGGCAGCCCCAGACCATGGAGCACCTGCTGGGGCAGGGCCCACTGTGCCTCATGCTGTTCAGAAGCCTCCAGTGTTGTATGATGACTGGTCTGATGATTTAGAAGTATGCAGGTTAGTCCCTAATTAGGATTTAGCATTCTTAAGAGGAGTTTCTCCCTGCCACAGTTTGAGTGCCTTTCCCTTGACTGCTTTCTATCACTATTTTTCAGTAATAAACTAGGCTAGGCAGGGCACAGGAAACAACAAAGATCCTTTGCTACAGAGAAGTTAGCATATCTCAGTCTGAAGAGATACTTCCCTTATTTGCAAAGAGCAATCTTAAAAAGGATCAAATGTTTGTCTTTGCTCCATGAAGATGGACCCACTCTGTCCTCTGGCAGAGTATTGTTTTTTTTTTTTTAAAATCTCCAGCCAGAGGCAGGGAATGAAGCAGAATGCCAGATAGTTCAATACAATGGGATATGGAGCTTTTCCTCCTTAAGTGATCAGTTCAAATCCAGCTTTGGTCCCCCTGTGTAATCTTTCAATGACTTATATGAAATAAATTTATGGTCTTAGAGTTGCCATTGCCTCAGGAAGCCAGTGGATGGTGCCTGGAGAACATTGTCTCTAGTGGGGCATAATTTGTCTGTGATTTTGCACGGCCAAACACTGTCACACTGTGAATGTGTATGGGCTGTTAGTTCAATCACCCCTCTCAAGGACTGGAATGATACAAAAGAGTGATTGGGCAGAATAAGCAGTAAAATAAGTTTTGGGAAAGAAAAAACAACACCAAGAGTTCTCTTTAGTTCAGAAGTTCAGGCCTCTGACAATCTGATGCACTGGTGTGAAGCATACAACCAGAAGGTGAGCATTTTACCCTGGAAATGAGATGAAGCTAGCCACTTCTGGGCTAACATTCAAATTTGGAGTACACAGCTGGGAACACTGGAGTTACTTAGTTCAGTGGTAAATGAAAATGCACCATCCCGTAAGTCTAACAGAACTGAAACAAGTATTTCCTTTTTTCTCCCTCACCAAACTTGTGAGCCAGCATTGGCTCTCATCTACAAAGTGACAATCAGGCTTAGTTTCTTCATATGGTAACCCAAAACTTCTCACTTTGCTTTGCTGGGAAGAATTTGCGTGGAAATGTAAACAGAGGATGAGGAAGTTCATGATGCCACATCATGCAGTCTCACAGTATGCTTTAACCTAGTGAAACACTGCAGAGATCTTATTTCTCAAAAGAAAAAAGGTAATATGGAGGTATTTTGTGGGGTTTTCTTCAGCAGAAGATATAAGCCATTACTAACACAGCTAGGGCTATGCACTCCTTTTTATACTTACCAAGCAAAAATGCACGTTTCCTCTGTCTGTCCATTGTCTGTCTTAATAATTTAAGGTTCTTCAAAGTCCAGCTGTGTTTGTGCATGAGTTTGTGTATTAGGACCAGGCTTGGGTTCTCTCTGCCTTATGGAAATGCAAAGAAACAGCAACCGTGGTAAACCATGTTATTGGAATTTATCAACAGGGCATGATGCAGAGGTGCACACAGATAACTACAACAGCTTCAGTGTTGTCTTCTTTTTCTGAACCACCCAGATTGAAGATCCAGTCTAGTACACGCAGTACATACATAACAGATCATTTGATAAGTGTTAAGAACATGAGCTACACAAAACCTGAAAAAAACCACTTCAGCATGGGTCTTCATATGGGCTTCATTATATTGTAGTAAACATTACACAAATAAACAAATAAAGGTCTAGGTGGGTATATAGATATACACACATGTGTATGTCTATATATAAATATAGAAAAATAAAATTCTGTAAATGCATTACGTAAATTAGTCCTAGCTGTTGCCCAAGTCACCAAACTTAGAATTTGCTTTCAGATGAAAAGTGAATCCCAGTCTTTTATTTGTCTTCTCAACCCACTTAATTATATACTACATTATATTATAATAATATTATTTTATTATAATTTTTCAGGAACTTTTTGCAAGACTTGGAGCTTGGTTCAAGGACGGACCTTTTGGATGTGCATGCAGACTTTTCAGCCAGGCTCTTTCTTATTTAGTTGAGGAAAGTTGAAAGATTTTGATAGGTTGTGTCCTTAGGCTCAGTATCAGTGGAGATGTTCATTGAACAACCAGCATTAAACTCAGTATGGTTGATGATGAGACCTGTTTTGCAAAATTTCTCAAGGCATTCAGAAACGCATTTTTCTATGTCAGGGATAATACTTTTTTTTTTTGTTGTCATTATCAGATGTATTATAATGACTGTAATGCATCTAGGAAAAAACATAGCAAAATCAAAAGCCTGGTAATTTTTTATAGCTGATAAGTTGTCTTACTTAATCAGTTTGTATACAGCTGAAGAAAAAGGAAGACATGTTTTTTACTACCAATTCAGAACAGACTGTAGTTTCTATTTCTCAGGACATGTCCATGCAATTCATTGATTCTTGATCTGTGGTATGTTTCTTTTTAAAATTCACAACCTTCAATCTGAAACAAAACCCAAATAAATAATTGCATGTCAGTGTAGATGTGCACATATACTCATTTTTCTGCATGAGAAATGGAAAAAAGTGGGTGGTTTTGTCATCTTTATGCTAAGACTGGGTTAGCATAGCTGGCTGTGATGTGGAACATTTTTTTTCCTGGGGGGTTTCTTCAAGCTTTTCATCCTAGCTATTTGTGTCTTTTGCTTGATGTGTCAGCACTGGCTGAGAGGAATGGCCCTCACCTAAATGGTGTTGTGTGGAAATAGCAGAGGAACAGGGATCATAAATGTCTCATGGTGACAGTTATTTTGTCTTTTAGTTTCTGGCTAGGCAACTTTTTTCCTTCATTTCCTCTTGGATTGCTGACAGTTTCTTCACTCTGCATTTATCAGCATGAGCGGGAATGTGACAGTGCACACTCAATTCCAGTATAATCACATTAGTCAGATAAAGTACAGTACCACTGTGCAATATGTTCTTCAGCTAGTCTAAAGGGAACCTCTTGGTCACTTCAGTGAATTATTTGCCCTTCTAGTGTCACTGATTCTTTCCAAAATGCTGAAAAAATGTCATGGCATCAATCCTGACCTTTGCAGTCTCTTCCCTGGACAACTACTTTCTCCTGGAGTCCATTAGGAGGCAAGGTTTCTTCTTCTGAGATACAACATAAGTTCTGGCTGTGCCAAGTTGTTTTGGCACCTAATTTAATTTATTATTTTTAAAAGATTCACAGGTTAGGCTTTCTATCTTTGGATACCCCTTTTCCTAAGTTGCCCTGTGCCTGAGATTTTCTTCATATATACTTTATCCTGGAATTTGCCATGGCTTGAGGCAAAGCCTCAGAAATAGCTTTCTTTGGTCTGCGTGTGGATAATCTCCCCAAAGGGAACAGCTGTGTATTGGATATGACAAAGTGAATGGATTGTGAGAAGTTAGTCCCATGGATTTTTACATGGAAATCACTAAGCAAAGAAAATTGAGTCATTGATAGTCCCACTAGTGGATCATAAGTTCTTTGTGTATTGATTCTGAATACATTTTATGGCATTTTTATTAATGATTATATAGTTGAAAGATATTTTCTGTTTAACTAGTTAGGGTTTTGGTGTACAGTCTTTTTGTAGTGCTGATTCAGTCATTTCAGCAAAAACACATGCACTTAAATAAAGTGGAGTTTCTCACTTTGAAAAAAAACGATGCTTACTGGAAGTCAAATTTTGATTTTGTTGAATGAACTCTGAATGACTCTTTCTGCAGTCAGGTATAATGGCAGGTCCTCATTTGAGGAGTAGGACATAACAGTAGGGCATGTGAGAAAACAAGCAGGGAAGGGGAGAAGTAAAGGAGATGGCGAGGTTGACTCATGAAGTCTGCAGAGTATATTTCACGCATAATTTTTAAAAAACAGTTTTCAAAATCTAGTGTGTTAATTAAAAGGCCGTTGAAAACTTAATATGGGCATTTTTCTGTGTTAGCACCATTATAGATGGGAAGAACTAGTGTATACTGTGCCTGACAAGAGGCAATATGATTATGTAGTTTCTCTCTGTGAAATCAAGTGCTTCAGCAGGGTTTTCTTTTCTTCATATTATTTAGT